GAAAAATTTTCAGACTGAAAATTTTCTCAAATCTGTTCACACTTATATATATATTGATTTATTTTATTAATTTTATTAAATCACTTGACTTAAAAGAAATAGGCGACAACGCTCTGCAAAATTTATTTCAACCAACCCAACCCATCCAGTATTTCCCTATTTTAAAGAAACCACAGAGATTAGACCCAACCACGAAAAATAATAATGCATATACTTACGTTCAAATCAGTGCAGCCCTCACTTCAGTATCGCCCTGTATATTCAGATGATGACGGTTTTTTGTTCATCACCAAATTGTTTGCAATCTATGTAGACATCCTTCCAAGATAACCGTTTTTCTATGTTTCGTAACTTCAAAAAAACTCGTTTCCTGCGGGGTACATTTGCATACACAGAAGCACTCACACATTCACAAACCGAAATGTGTTTGAAGTCACGTCTGTTGACTCATTCGCGACCATTAGCTGCCAGAAATGGCGTCGTTTAAGCTTTGTGGCGCCAATATGGCTTGGACACTTTTGAAGTTATTGACTGCAATTTAAAGTCCGCCAATAAATCGGATTTATTTATAAGAACAAGAGAAGCGCGAATGGCTTTAACGAAATACTTGGGTTGTTGTATATACTTGCATTGCAAAATTAAAAGCATAAATATATCTAAATCGACGCTGCGCCCACACGAGACATGCCAAGTGGAACGACAGTTTTACGACACTCTAACTTTTTCATATACAAAGGTCAGACTTTTGTTTAGCTAATTCACACAACTGGCGCCCACTTGATTTAAGTGGTTATTTATACAAATGCTTCCACGCATATAGAATTCATCTACATGCTCAGGCGCGTACTCACACATACTCTAGCACATACTTACAAGCGACGTTTTCGCATGCCTGTAAGCAAGTTCAAAGTCGGCATTTGATTCATAAATTTCAAACGGATGCATACGTAGAAACACGTTGAACCTTAGACTTTCAGCAACGAGCATAGCTTATCTGGAATACTCCAGATGTACGAGCTCAAAAAGGACTGTGTCTTTTATAAAAAGCCTCTTGTTTATTTTGTGCTATTTAATTTAAAGTAAGTCCTTTTGTCATTGCACTTTGTTAACGTCTATAATGTATAAATAATAAGCTAAAGATATAAATGATCACTGTTCATCTGGAAAGTGTATTATTGAAATGTGAAGAGAATTTGTTACCGATAGTTATGTGCTCTTGAGACATAAATAGATAAAATGTAGGCAATACTTCGCCTAGCGTCCATTAACTTAATATTATATAATATAAAGATTTTCCAACTTCCCTTTGACTTTATACCATATATACCGCTCAATCTTTGAAGTATCTTAATAAAACTAAGTGAGCGCTTTTTCTGATAACAATATTCCGTGATTTCACAAATGGATAAAGTCGGATTAATATTAGCCCCATATGAATGTTGAACAAATTTCAAACTTTCGGCTGGCTTTGTACCGTATATATTGTTAATATTTACAAAATCTTTGCACAATTTAGTGAACAGTAGCAAATATTGGTAAACAGTAGCTTAAAGCCCAAAATGTGGGAAATTGTAGCACTAATTAGCCCACCTCGCGTATACTATATATAATATAATGATTTTCGTTACTTTCATAAATGTCAAAAATTCCAAATATTATATGTCAGACAGTATATCAGTTATATCCATAACATTGCGTAGAAACATTGAATTGAATATATATATATTGAATGGTAAGCGTGATCTCGCCTATACTTAATCAACTGTTCTGTTCTCGACTGCACTTAAATAATAAAAAAAGGTAAAGCAATAAGTCCAGATCTGACTGAATGTAATGGTAGTTTCCCTATGCCATTGCAATAGCTACAAGTGACTTTGGGTTACCGGACAAGATTTTTTCCGCATTTTGTACATATTTTGATAAACAAGAGGAGGTCAAAAAATTAATAGTCATGAACAAACCTTTTCACGTCATGACGTCTATGTAACTATACATAAAAAAAAACATTGATATAATCTAACAGTAATATTGACCGAAAAAACACTTGCATTATTAAGAGAAAAGTATGGTATGCTCGATAAACGACACATATAGCACAAAGTACCCCATTTTTTCAACATAATAAAATACCTTCCATTCATTATTGTTGTTATATACAGGTTGGTTGAAAATTTCCCCGCTCGAAAAGGAAAAATACTGTTTTTGGTACGAAATATATATTGTTTTTTCAATATAATCTCCCTTAACTTCAATACACTTATTTTAATGATCCTCTAATAATTTTATGCCATCCCTATAATGACTACGGCTGTAATAACTTCTTCATTCGACGAAAAACGCTTTCCACGAAGGAATTGTTTCCGGTTTCTGAAGAAGTAGTAGTTGCTGGAAGCCAAATCTGGTGAATACGGTGGATGCTTAACCAATTTGTACTTTAATTCGTTAAATTTTGTCATGGTGAAAACACCTTTGTGAACATTAGCATTCTCTTTTTGTTGTGCTGAAAAAAAGTTTTTTCTCACGAATTTTTGCATCCAGCTGATCTAAAAGGCTGCAATAATATTCAGAGTTGATTGTTTTACTTTTCTGCACATAATCAATCAACAAAATTTCTTTTGCTTCCCAACAAAATGTTGCCATAATATTCTTTGATAATCGTTGTGACTTCATCTGCTTTGGAGCTGAACAACCAGCTTCAGTCCATTGTAAACGTTCTTGTTTTAAGTCTCATCCATAGTTATAAAACGATGTAAGAAATTGGTTCTGTTTAAACGCTCCAAATAAAGCTGAGAGATTTGTTTTCGTTCCAGTTTTTGTTGAATTGTTAATGTGTGCGGCACTAACTTTCCTAACAGCTTTTTCATATGTTATTCTCCATGTAAAATATGTAGTACTCATTCGTCTGATTGGCTATGACATTTGTAATTTCACGCTTAGTCAAACTTGGATCTTCACTAAAAATATTATGAACTTGCTAAATGATTTCTGATGTGATTGCGGTTTCAGGTCGTCCTTCGCGTGGATTGTTTTCAAACCTAGTAGTACTAGGTTAAAATTCAACGGGACGTTTTGATGGAGAGGCCTCCTTATACACTTCTAAAAATTGTTCATAAATTTCCTTTGCTTTTAAACTTTTCAAAACAAGAAATCTAATCACTGCGCGATATTAATTTTTTTCGATATTACAAAAATGCTCTGACACGTTAACTTCAAATGGCTTGTAAACAAAGAATTAATTGACAGAATGACTTGTAGGTTTACATGTTTTCTCATGACAGATATTCTAACTTGAGAAAAAAACAAAAAAAAAAACGAAGCTTAATACCCTTCACAAATACAAAAAGGTTTCTTAGAAAAACTTGATTTTTAGTGTTATTTTTAGTTTTTTAAGCCATACTTATTCTTTAGCTCACGTGGTGTTGTCACTTTCTCTAAGGCTTGAGTAAATTTGTTATTATTTATAAATTTTGGACAACATCGGTAGTTGATACTTTTAGCTAACTACACCATGCATAGTTTTGGGGAAGTATTTCCTTTTTTATACTCTCGCAACCTGTTGCTACAGAGTATAATAGTTTTGTTCACCTAACGGTTGTTTGTATCACCTAAAACTAATCGAGTTAGATATAGGGTTATATATATATAAATGATCAGGATGAAGAGACGAGTTGAAATCCGGGTGACTGTCTGTCCGTCCGTCCGTCTGTCCGTCCGTCTGTCCGTCTGTCTGTCCGTCCGTGCAAGCTCTAACTTGAGTAAAAATTGAGATATCTTTATGAAACTTGGTAGACATGTTTCATGGTACCGTGAGACGGTTGGTATTGCAGATGGGCGTAATCGGACCACTGCCACGCCCACAAAACGCCATTAATCAAAAACAAATAACTTGCCATAACTAAGCTCCGCAATAAGATACAAGACTGTTATTTGGTACACAGGATCACATTAGGGAGGGGCATCTGCAGTTAAAATTTTTTTTAAAAAAGTGGGCGTGGTCCCGCCTCTAATAGGTTTAATGTGCATATCTCCTAAACCGCTAATGCTATAATAACAAAATTCACTTATCACAAATGCTGCTGGCATCTCTATCGACAGTGTGAAAATGGGTGCAATCGGGTGACAATCCCGCCACTCCCCATATAACGGTACTGTTAAAAACTACTAAAAGCGCGATAAATCAAGCACTAAACACGCCAGAGTCATTAAATTTTATCTCTGGGATGGTATGAGATGACTTTATAGGAACCGCGTTCAAAATTAGACAGTGGGCGTGGCACAGCCCACTTTTAGGTGAAAACCCATATCTTGAGATCTGCTTAACCGATTTCAACCAAATTCGGTGCATAACGTTCTTTTCATGTTTCTATGTCACAGTGCAAAAATGGGCGAAATCGGACTACAACCACGCCTACTTTCCATATAACACCATTTTAAATTCCATCTGATTATTTCACTTTCCACTATGCAAATCAGGCAACAATGACTGTATCGGGATAAAACTTTGCGTGAATAATGCGATTAAAGTATGCCACCTTGTGGCCAAAAATTGTCTAAATCGAACCAAAACTGTTTAAGCCCCTAAGTACTAAATATGTGGACCCCAGTGCCTATAGTTGACCTTCTACCGAAAATATCAGCCAATCCACAAAGAAATCTCAAACGAGTATACTATTTGACTTTGCGAGAGTATAAAATGTTCGGTTACATCCGAACTTAGCCCTTCCTTACTTGTTTTGTTTAGTTTTTTGTAGTGCTCAAACTGTTGATTGTTTTATAATAGTGACACTCAAATATATACATTCGCGTTTTACCACTGAAAAAAATTACAAACGTACAGGTGAAGCTAATAAAAGAGTTATAAAAATAGATATTACGATAGTATCGTCCCTTAACCTTTATAGAGGGCGTTTGACAGAAAAATCAAGTAATTTAATTTCTTTGTCATATTTAAAAATTGCAAATAATTTAACGTTGAATTTCATTAAATTTTTTTTTTGCAGCTTCCACGTACACAAGTCCTCACTTGTCAATCTAATTCACCAACATTCTTGTGATATTTAAGTAGTTGCATTTGAAAGTTTTTTATGCAACATATTATTTGATAAAGTGCACCATTTGGATGACGACTGAAACCAACTGGCGACAAACTCTGCAAAATGCGGAAAAACTATAAAGCAGCAAAAGGGAGACGGCAAACCAAACAGACACAGACAACTGTGAGATATGCACCCGCAGAGACGTTGACTAGTGTCATATTCTTACAACAACGAAAACTTCAAAAAGCAACGAAAGGAAAACTGCAGGGAGATGAAGGCAGTTTAGCAAAAACGGGACTTCCGCTTGAAATCAACTTGAAGCACATATTCACATCGACGTAGAAAAAACGCTAATGGAGCGCTGTGAACGCAATTTGTTGGGGAAAAAAGAGCTGTGGCTGTAAGAAGTCTACCACCTCGAATGAGCTGTGCTTAACTTTGGAATAGAAAAATTTTTTAAATTCGAGAGTCAGACATTAAATAGTAAAGCTTTTGCATAACAATAATATAAATGTATTATTTATTAATCAGTGAAATTGTCCAAAATGTTATATTTGCACACGAATAATTATTAAACCCCTTTTGCTGAAAGGTTGTGAATACCTTTGAGTGCTTTTTAATAGTTCATACTTTGAGTAAAAAATAATTTCAACATAAGGAAATTAGAACAGACAGCAAGAGATTACTGATAGAATTAAATAATTTAAAATATTTACATAATAGAAAAAAAATAAAAAAATTAAAAAGTGTTCCAATTAAAGCAGTAAAAAGTTAAATATAAAATTAATAATAACTTAAAACGTTTTACAATTTTAAAATTTCCATAAATAATTTGAAACGCATACAAATCACGTTGAAGTTTTTTGTTAAAGTATAGAAAAAAAATTGAGAAATAATTACACTACAAGAATTTTTAATAACATTATCGGTTAAAAACTGTTGAACTGTTGTGTGATATTTTCCAGCTTTACTTGTATGCAAAAGATTGGATTTTGCAAACAAAATTACATATATTAAAGGAAGCCTTAAACTTATTTACACGAAACATAATATGAAATTTTAGACAATTGAAAGCAAAACGAAAAAGAAAAATTACGTTAACGTCTTTGGGGTCTCAGATATATATTTCTCAGAGATAAGTCCAAAGACAGCGTTGATAAACAAAAAGAAATTATAAATTTCATTTAAGCACACTATATAGAGTTATTTCAGCAGGTAGTTCATAATTTTAAAACACTAAAAACTAACTTAAAAACTAACTTACCTAAGCTTTGGCGCAACGACTAATAGTACATCGATTTGAAATACATAATTTTCTTCCGTAATTTCCCCAGCAGATATTTGAGCTGGAATAACTATTAATTACTTATTCAAAACTGAAAATTAGCACCACTACCTCTTTAGTACGAGCGCGGGTTGTTCTTCTTGTCTTACTTCGTTTTAAGGTAGAATATATTATAGTACCCTGTAGGTTTGCGGCCCCGCTTCTAATCGCAGACCGATGACTCAACTCAATACAACGCGCGAATTCGACCCGAACATTTTTCATGAACTAAAGTCATCTCAACGCATTCAGGATCTGCTACGCCAAGAGCCCGCTTTGCTACCACCCGCTGATGTTGTGGATAGTTCGACGCACGATTACGACGCGGCGCCGATTAATTTGCAAGATTTTATACAAAGTGTGTCGGACAGCAACGTCTTCGTCGAGTATATTGCACCCACAGATTCTACAATATTCTCCCTCGGCAACAGCATTGCGGATGACGGCACACTCTTTCCCCAGTTGACAGAGAATTTTACCTTCCACAATTTCTACAGCAACCAGTCCAATGGCACATTGTGCAAGGACGTCTATCATCCGGATGACGACACCCGCCTAGAGTTTTGGGTTTGTGGCGTTGTTTTGAATATTGTCGGCATATTCGGTATTATTGGCAATATCATTTCTATGATTATACTGTCACGACCTCAAATGCGCTCCAGCATAAATTATTTGCTCATTGGCTTGGCACGTTGTGATACGACTTTGATCATCACATCCATGTTGCTCTTTGGCATTCCCTGTGTATATCCATATTCGGGATATTTTTTCTATTATTACAACTACGTTTATCCGTTTATATCACCGTCGGTTTTCCCAATCGGCCTGACGGCGCAAACGGCTAGCATATACATGACATTCACAGTGACTTTGGAGCGTTATGTAGCCGTATGCCATCCGCTTAAGTCACGTGCGCTCTGTACTTATGGTCGAGCTAAGATCTACTTCATAGTTTGTTGCACGCTATCGTTGATCTACAACCTACCGCGCTTTTGGGAAGTTATGACGGTGAGCTACCAGCCTGAGGGTAGTGAGATAGTGTATCACTGCTTACGTCCGTCACCTTTACGACAAAATCAAACATACATCAATATCTACATACATTGGTGTTATCTGATTATTAATTATATAATACCATTCCTTACGTTAGCCATACTCAATTGCCTGATCTATCACAAGGTGAAACGGGCGAATCGCGAACGCCAACGACTATCGCGCTCCGAAAAGCGTGAAATTGGCTTAGCTACTATGTTGATCTTCATCGTAATCGTCTTTTTTCTCTTAAACTTTCTTGCCCTTGTCGTAAATATTGATGAAGCTTTCTACAATAAAATTGATCACTCGTTAACGAAAATCTCTAATTTGCTGGTGACGATCAATAGTAGTGCGAATTTCTTGATTTATGTCATCTTCGGCGAGAAGTTCAAACGTATTTTTCTGTTGATTTTTTTCAAACGCCGCCTCAGCCGCGACCAACCCGATCTTATTCACTACGAGAGTTCTATATCGAACAACGGTGACGGCACAATAAATCATCGTTCATCGGGCCGGTTTTCACGACACGGTACGCAACGCAGTACAACAGGCACGTACCTGGTTACCGGAGGCGGCTCGAACAACAGTACTTTGAAGAATGTGCGTTTGGTGCAGACAGGGTCACCCGGTGTGGTGAAGATCAAACGCAATCGGGCGCCCTCGCCGGGACCGATTGTGTACTACCCAGCACGAGACATTCAACGCGCGACGGTTGTGACCCCGGTGGCGTTAGCGTCGAACAACAACACGACAGTAAGCTGTGATTGGATTGACGGAAAGAACGGACAAATGACTTCGGGGATCTGAAAGCATACGAACAATACAGATACGGTTGGAGGCGGCGAAAGTGTGTTTGTAGCGAAAGGGTATAGCTGTAAACGAGTTTGATTTATTCACATATCGTGCGGTTAATTGGAATTTACCCGAGATATATTAACCAAGCGGTGTTATTATGACAATAAGTAATAGTATTATTACTTTTGCAAGATTCTATTTAAATCACATCACATCAACACAATCTTCTATGAAACAGTAGCACGACTATAGTGATTTTAAGCTTGTTTATGCGAATGTATGTATATTATGGATCTGCCCACGACTTCCTAGCGTAATTAGCTCGGTTCACTCGTGCTCAATTCACTTACCATTTTATTTCCTTTGATATGGTTCTCAGAGTTATTTATATTCATATTAAAATATAGAAATGAATGATTTCGAATAATAAACGTCGGCAATTTCACATTTCCTTGTTTCGATTTTCGCTTCTAACGTGAATATTTTAATCTGTACACTGTTTATACGAGTGTGGCAATACTGGGTGCTTTGGTTTTTTTTTTTTTTTAATTTAGCATCTTCAGAGAATTCAAACCATGAGTCAATGATATCATGTTGTAGCGGTAGAAGCCCTGCTTCATCATGTTAACATGCTTCTGACAATTTATGTAAATTACTGAAAAGTTACTCGGCTTATACCTTTGGTAACGTACACACATATAAACTTGTATTGTAGCTTTTAAGCACATACATGTATAAAAATATTCGGAAAACAACACAGCTTCTTTTGAAATACTTGTATAAATTCAAAAACTAACGTTAATGTGGTTTTTATGCTGTCGTCGGAAGCTGTATGTAATTACTTATCTACAAGTATATGCATGGCATGATTTTTATTTTTAATTCGATTTACGCCTTCCATATTAACTTTATAAATATCCTGTTAATTTCTTGTCACAAAAATACTCCTCAATAAAAAGAAATAAAATAAAATAAAATGTAATAATATGGTACAGGCTGATTGGTGTTAAGTTCAATATAGATGTCTACAAACCAAGTTTTTTACAAGAATTTCTTCAATGTTAAACACCACATATGTACAAGTATGCATATATGGTAGATGTAAAATGCTTACATTTTAGCTACAACTGTTATAAACAGCCAAATTTATCCAACCTATTCGTGTACCCTGAACATTTGTATATGTGTATGTAATTGTAAGGCGCTCCTGCGTAATGCGTACTCGTATCAACATCCTATTTGCAGTTAAACAGTTTCATGCGTTATGCACACTTTCGCTACCCTTGAATTTATATACTACTTATATGTACGAGTATGTAGGTAACTGTATCTATGCAAGTGAATAAAGTTTGTAAAATATTAGACCTAAATCTTAGCTGTAAAACTTAGTATAAATTCTGTAGTTAATTATTTGAATAGTTAAATCTCCAAATATGAACTATTTTTCCGAATAGACACCTATAAATTTACATGTGTATGTAAATACTTACATAAAAATATAAATGACAAATTCTAGACATAAGTAAACAAGTATCATGTAACTATTTGAATTTTATTCAAGCGATATATTATGTGTATCTATTGTTATGTTGAAAATATTAAATGACAAAATTGTTACAAAAACAAACAATAATAACGGATTGGTTAACTACATACGGTTTATAAAATAAAAGATCACGCCACTCAAGTTACAAAAATATGTGTCGTCCTCCAGTGACATAATATAGAATTGATCTCTGATTGGTCGATTAGAATTAGAACAAATGCTGAAACTTAAAGCAGCAGTTGCGCGTGTTCTGTTTTGGTACTAAATAAAAAGAATTAGTAGATAAATTAATCAGAATTAAAAAGGTTTTAAATCATCACGAAATATAATTATACACTATACATTTTTTAGGTTTTTATATATTTTTTCATAAGTTTGGCAAAAGTCAGAATTGGTCTAATTACGTGGCGTGGCCTTGTATTTAATGAGCATTGTTAAATACAAAATCTATGAAATAAAATAACTCAAATAAAACAGTTTTAAAGAAATGAAAATATGCAGTTTATTTTACCGCCACCTTGGGTGAGTATTACGCTAATTCAACTTCAGATTCATCCCACTCTTTTTTGGTATTACGAACTTCTACTATTTTAAATCGAAGCTTCATTGGGTTGCCAATCTAAAAAATTAATATTTGACAGATAATTAAACAGCTGAAAGTTTTCCAACGAAAAATAAAAACAATTCAATTCAGTTATTGCTTGTGAAAAGGTGAAGATTTATTAGAGACATTAGTTTTGATAGATAGGCAGAATGATTGTCTGACGACGCACCTGAGCCTTTAGGAGGCCACTAGAACCCTGAAAGACTTTAGTGATTTTAAAGCCGCTAACTATATGTATTCCTTGTAGTGGGCAAACTCCTTGTTAGAACAAGAAGGCTTTCTTTAATTGCTGTGGGACCACACCCACTTTTAAAAAAATGTAAACTGCAGATGCCCCTTCCCAATGTGATCCTGCATACCAAATAACAATCTTGTATCTTATTACGGAGCTTAGTTATGGCATTTTTTTTGTTTTTGATTAATGGCGTTTTGTGGGCGTGGCAGTGGTTCGATTACGCCCATCTGCAATACCAACCGTCTTACGCACCAAGAAACATGTGTACCAAGTTTCACCAAGACAACTAAATTTTTACTCAAGTTACAGCTATTGTATAATAACTAAATTCACTGAGAACAAATGATTTTAGCGCCTCTATCGGCAGTCTGAAACTGGGGGAAAGCGGCTGACAACCCCGTATAACGGTACCGTCAAAAACTACTAAAAGCGCGATAAATCAAGCACCTAACACGCCACAGACATTAAATTTCCTCTCTGGGATAGTATGAGATGACTTTATAGGAACGGGGTTCCAAATTAGACAGTGGCACCGCCCACGTTTAGGTGAAAGTCCATATCATGGGAACTGCTTAACCGATTTCAACTAAATTCAGTACATAACGTTCTTCCCATATTTATATGTAATAGTGCCAAATCGGATTACAACCACGCCTATTTCCCATATAACACCATTTTGAATTCCATCAGATTCGTTCACTTTCCACTATGCAAATCAAGCAACAATGATTGTATCGGGGTAAAACTTTGCGTGAATAATGCGTTTCATATATGACACCTTGTAACCAAAATTGTCTAAATCAAACTAAACTGTTTAAGCGCCTATGTACATAATATTTGGACTCCAATGCCTATATTGGACTTGTTATTGAAAATACGGTCAATGTATAAGATATATAATTGAAATTCATATAATACCTGGTGTTGTCAGTAAATACATAAACATGTATGGTTACATCCGAACTTAGCCCTTCCTTACTTGTTTCTATTAGGAATGTGGAGACTGATTTAACCCATTATTGTCACACGTTCATATTCTCTCGGTGTCTGGGGTCTTGAACAGTTTTGCTTCAATTTAGAAAAATCAGTATTTGTTCAAGCTTTTATTCTGATACATTGATTGGTGCTTAATTTTTATACTGGAATGTGAAAGAATCAGATAGAATTTTAAATTGTACAATACAAGTATAGGAAGCAGCCGTGGGTGTAGTCCGATATCGTCCGTTTTCACACTGCGGCATAAGAATGCCGTGGTGGCATTATTACCTACCGAATTTGGTTAAAATCGGTCGAGCGGGTTCCGAGATAAAAAGTCCTCCCGCACCATCACGGATGTAAAATTTCATGTTTATGTCGTATGTATAAATCGATTTTTCGGATTTTTAACAGTACCGTTATATATGGAGTAGGCAGGGCTTTCATCAATTTTTACAGTGTCAGTAGTGGTGCTTAAGCGATTTATATTGAGCAAATTTAGATGTTATAACGAGTGATCCAATAAGACGTACTTTTTTAATACTTTTTTTTGACAAATTTCGTCGTGTCAAAATTGCCGCATTTGAAGACATTTAAGATCTGTCATTTCATCCAGAAAAACCAATGGTTTGGTGTGGTTTGTGGTCCGGTGGAATCAAAAATGATGCCGGTGAGAACATAATCGTCAATAGCGACCGTTGTCGCGCCATGATAACCGACAATTTGATGCCTGAAATTGAACAAGACGGCGCCACTTCCAACACATCGCATCAATCATTGGATTTATTAAGAGAACACTTCGGTGAGGAGATAATTTCACATTTGGAGCCGGTCGATTGGTCACCAAGATCGTGTAATATTACACTGTTTACCTTTTTTCTGAGGAGATATCTAACATCTAAAGTCTATACGGACAAACCCCTTGATTCAGGCCTTGGAACAAAATATCACGCGAGTAAAAGAAACGACGAGTTGTAGGTTCTTTATTTTAACTTTATTAAATAATAATAAAAAAATTGAAATATATGGCTTTTATACAAAAAATTTGCTTTACTTACTCATTCATAAATTTTCATATAAACATCAAAATAATTTCCGGGTTCGCCCACTTCAAATTTATTTGTAAACAATAAAACAATGGCAACAGTGTTGCAACACAAATTGATTTGTAGCACTGATTTGTAGCTTTGTTGTGACAAAGAACAATTCGAAGGAAGCAATGGAATATGATGTCAATAAGAAATATCAAAAAAAAATACACTAACAAATGAAATGAGAGATTGGTAACAACAATGTATTGTAGTAATCGAAAGTTATCAACTACGGTGATTGTTTTGCAATATATGTATTGCTGAGTGGTAATTTTATACATAAGAGAAACATAGTGAACTATCGCCCTATAGTTCATATATAAAATAGATTGCATTGTTATAATAGGTGCAGTCTCTGACGTAACACTCGTGTTATTCGAAGTCAAGATACTCGAACGAGTCATCGAAAATTAGACTCAACGGATGGACCATATGACAACTGAAAGTGATACTCCTCTAAAAATAAATGCTAAAGAATGTTCTTTCGAATGATAATAAACATTCCCATTAAAAAAGTAGGAAACCTCGAAATAGATCCATCTATAGCTTTATTGGGTTAAGAGATATGTACATTGAACCTCTTAGAGGACGGGGCCACGCCCATTTTTCAAACTTTTCAGCCCGTAGGTGCCCCTTGCTACTGCGTTCTCTTGTGCTACTCTGTAGAAACATGTTGCAAGAGTATAAAATTTCACAAAATGGAGGCGTTTTCAAAGAAAAGTATAATTTTACCATTCCTATTTAGATCAAACCAAAAAATATGTAGCATTATATATAGAACTATGCAGCAAATTCGAAAAATGTTGTCTGGAGAAAAACGTGTTTAAAAATAAACTGGTGTACCGAAGTGAACTGAACGGCCACCCTTTAAATGTCTTCAAAACAAAAACTATTTGAGATATCGATTTATATGTTATTTTTAAAGGTATAAACTATAGAAATATGAAAAAAAATCGACTTTTTTAAATTATCACACTGGGATACACCTAAATACTACAGTCAACCCCACCTACACAGAGTGGAAAACCGTAATCCCGTAATCCCGTAATAATAAAAAGGGGAAGTTTGACAACACTTCAACCGTAATTCATATCGCATATCGATAATACCGGATTTCAAAAATTCAACCAAAAGTTGGGTTGAAAACTGAAGAACTTCCAGCGTCTGTTTGACGCTCTATTTACGTTAACTAAGGCTAAGATAGGTTGCAGCCAAACATTTTATATTCTTATAAAATTCAGTGAAAATTTAGGGAATACTGTTAAAATGGTTAAATAGTTACATGGGTTAAAATTGTAGATTAGTAGATTTAAATTTTTAATTAAATTTTACGTTCGTCGTAGAATTTTTCGATTTCTCTGTAAATAAAAAAAGGATGAAAAAGAATTAATTAAAAAATAATTTGTTACTGGGTGGCATAATCGACATATGTATGTATGCGTTATAAACTTAATTTCAATTCAATATATTAGGCGTATGAGGTCATACAGAGAGGCTGAAATCAATTGTTTGGGTATATAGGGTCTAGTCAAACGCTTCGACCGATTTCATTCACACTCCAGGCTAAGACAATTTTCGTAAAAAAAACATGCCAACTTAATTTCACTAAAATATCACATATAAAGTCAACAAATTAATCAATATTGGATATATTGGTTCTAAGGCGAGTTCTGAGCCGATCGCATTTACTTTTGACATTATACTAAAGTATGTTCGAGAAATTGAAATTGAATGATATAGTGTTATATATAAAATCAGTCTGAAGTATAAAAATCCTAGCTTCGGAAAGTAGTAACTCAGAATTTCATCAGGATATGTCACAGGTTGACCAATATATAGTGTATAAAGCCAACCAAAAGTCTGAAATTTCATATATTAGGCAAACATGACACGATGTCACCACAGAAGTTACCACCATACTCGATGACACCCCACACAATCAACAATAAAAGAGGGATTGGATCTTCAATTCAACACATTCAATACGAACGCGATCCAGTGCGCTACTTTCTTTCGATGAAACAACGATTCAACGCGTTGCCCTTTTTTTCGCTACGTCACCTCGATGCAGTGACTGGACATTACACATAATCTTTTTTTTTCGGTGTCAACTTAATCGGCAGCTCCACCAGTGATTTTTGATACATACTTGGATCCTCGCCGCCTCGCGCGTCAACTTTACATTTTTTAATTTAATTACGAATGTATTGTACATATATATTATATATAGTAACATACTTGTAGTGCACGAATAAATAGAAAATATAAAAATTACACTTAAACATTAACTGCGAGTTTTGGTGCATTACAACTATAAATATCTTATTTACGGTGTTGAGTGTATTCCCAATTAACTGGGTCCCTTAGTAATCATTATTTTAAGTTTAATGGAAATAATGGACGAATTTTTTTAATTGGTATGTCGAATGCCGGGTGAATTCGAATGCATTGCTTATAATTTATTTATTTGTCTACATATTTTACTCTTTGTAGTATCTATGGTAAATCCCCTGTATTGGTGTGATAAATTTTCCATCTGACAATCAGATGGCGCTAAATAAGAGTCGAACAGGGAGATACCGTGTAGAT